ATCCTGATTTTGTTTGATCCTTAAACTGCAGCACGTCTACCTTTCTCGCAATATTTTTCGAACGATCATTGGTTCTTATTAATTAATTCGTAGATTTGGTGGCGACATTGTTACTTTAACGCATTGCTAATGGAAACAAGAATTCTCGCTTTATCGATTAATCACGAAAATGCACCGATTTAAAAAACGAATTCATTGAACATAAGTACTTTATGAAAGACCGCCAGATTAGTCAGCACAAAATACAATAAATTCTCCCGAATTTTCCCTTCAGCTTGTAAACAAAAATGGACAATTTGTAAACAGATGACACGATTATTCGAGCCGGGTCATTTTGTATATTTGCCGATTGTCAACAATTATATAACACTATATCATACAATTATACAATCATTATCTTCACTCTCCAAATTGTCCATTTTTCGTTATCCTAAATGAAAATCAGGGAAAATTTACTGTACGCTCTAAAAATGCGCTCTCGCGTAAATCCGGGGGATGAAATTTGCGACGAGTTGCTTCCTCTGCAGTTCAAGGACGAACATCTAAGCTAATCCCTCCTCCACAAAATCTACGTTCTTCTCCCACACGCTTCTTCATCGCTTGAAAGACATCTCTAAAAATTCGTTCGCCAGCGTCGAACCCGCGACGATTCACCGAAGGAAAGGAACGCGCGAAACACGCTCTCGACGCTGGTGATTTTTAGAATCGAAGTCGACCTGGTGTGTAATCGAGTCGCGTGTCCGGTATTCTGTTGGTACAGGGGACGCGGATGGAGGAGCGACTGGACGATGCCATAAACGTTCTGAGGAACCACGCGGAGAGCCAGCTGGGCCTCCATCTTGGTCCCGTTGGTCCACACGGTCCCATCTACTCCCACACATCACCACCGCAGCTGGACCATTTGGTAAGCGTTCGTTGTTTTCTCTAAATGCCCTCCGACGTGAATAGCTTTACGACAGCCGTGAATCAATGCTAATAAACTGAACCGAATCGCAGACGAGTCCGCATCCCGCGGTAACAGTGACGCAACCGCAGGGCTCCTACCCCGGGCTCACCCCCACACCTGACACGGACGGATCCATCAAAATCGAAAGGTTACCAGTAGCAAATGCCAGTAAGTTTCGCCGTCATCATTCTCTGAATTTGTTCGTTTTCGCGACGGGTGTCCTTGGAATAGAGCGACGACGTCCTCGATACCCGCAAATCAGGCGCAACGATTTCAACGTCTGTATAGGAAAAAGTTCGAAATATTAGAGACGGTTCGTGCAGCGAATATTTAATTCGGTCGATTTAGATCTTTATAGAATTTTGTTAAATAAGGCTTCGTTCGATTATCGAAGATCTGTTGGTTATACAGTAAATTCTCTCCAATTGTCACTTGATGTGGAAACGGAAATGGACATTTTGAGGACAGGGGACACGATTATTATTATTTTATATATTACTATTATTAGTATATATTATTATTATTATTAGTAGTAGTATAAATATTATAGTAGTATATATATACCATTATCAGTATATATTATTATTATTATTATTAATAGTAGTAGTATAAATATTATACTAGTATATATAGTAGTAGTATATATATATACTATTATTAGTATATATTATTATTTTATATATTATTATTATTAGTAGTAGTAGTTTATATTATTATTTCATATATTATTATTAGTAGTAGTAGTAGTAGTAGTAGTAGTAGTAGTAGTAGTAGTAGTAGTAGTAGTAGTAGTAGTAGTAGTAGTATTACTATTATTATTATTATTATTATTATTATTATTATTAGTAGTAGTAGTAGTAGTAGTAGTAGTAGTAGTAGTATATATTATTACTTTATATATTACTATCATTAGAATATACTATTATTTTATACATTACCATATTATTATTATTATTTCTTATTTTATAGTTGTCTCCCAAATTGTCCATTTTCGCGCGCAATCTGAGCGTCAATTCGGAAGAATTGGAGACAATTGGAGAGACTTCACTGTACTCCGTGATCTCTCCTCGAAGATCGAAAATACTTCGAACGTCTGACACAGCTGGTAGAGCATTTTTTATCTTCCAGTAGTTTCTCAGACGTCCTTGGCAACTTCATTTTCGCCTATTCTTCCGCGGCAGGGTTTATATTCTATTCATAGCGATAAATGTGCACGACGACGCGAGAGAGAGACAGAGAGCTAAATAGAGTCTTCGGACGGATCGGACCGAAGAATTCCATTGAAACCGAACGATCTATTCCCCGGAACGCTATCTACGGTCGAGACCGTAGCGATCTACGGAATCCTCGATCGGCGGCGAAGCCTCGGTTAATTCCTCGACTCATTCGTTCACGACGGAACGATCCGGCGATGAATAACGTCACGGACCATTTTAGAAAATTGATCGTTAATTCTTCGTGGAAGAGAGCGAGAGAGAGAGAGAGAGAGAGGAGGGGAGAGAGAGAGAGAGAAAAAAGAAAAAAAGAGAACTGTTACCCCGGAAGCGGAGGCGACCTTCGCCGAACACGGCGCAGATCGCGGGAGCCGCGGCATTATCCTCGAGCTTTGGGCCGGTTAGTCACGAAACCGTGAAAACCGTCCAATTACGAGCAGGAAGCGCGTTTCAAGCTCTCTCGATACTCTCTGATTCAATCGTCGCCATAAACGTGTGTGTGTGTGTGTGTCTGCCTCGTGCGCGCTCAACAATTCGCGAATGCATTAAACCGCCGCCGTTTCTACCGAACCTCGCAGATAAATCAGACGACGCAGGCCGATTGTGTGCAAAGGTCCCGCGGATCTTTTCCAGGTAGCCAGGAGATACTGGCGAAAGTTGCGCGATTTGTTCCTTTCTTTCTTTTTTTTATTCTCGAGGGTCCGACGGAATCGTTCAATTTTTTAATCGTTTCGTTAATCGTGCGACGGTCGCAAGAATCGATGTTCGATATTTTTTTTTACAGACATTTAGTTGATGCGAACGATTTGTACCTTGTTGAAAAGGTGCGATGAATTTGACTTAGTTTTCGGATTTGATTGGAGGATTGTTTTATTCGTTTATTTATTAGTCTTTTACGTTTCGCTTCGATTCATTCATTTTCTAATTTTTTGAACAATTCTGTTCCGCGCGTATTTTTATGTGCGATTTAAGAAGACGTTTTAAGGGAACGCGTTGCAAAATTCTAAAACGTTCCTGAATATTGTCAGATATGTTGACAAAAATATTCGTCGTTTTAATAATAATAATAACTTGACTGCGGATCGTACGCGTTTGTTATCTGTAATTGTAAACAATAGATTTGATTTATTACCTCCGACTTATTAGAATGATTAACATTAAATCTACCACACAGTCGAATGCCCGGTCACTCATTTTACAATCGCAAAAATTGCGGAGCCTCTTCCCTGAGAAATGACCGAATTAAATTCTACCATCGCAGCAACCGTAACAATAAAAACTATACGAAATCTAAACAAACCGGAGCTTCTCACATTTATTGACCAATGCACACCGGTCAATTTTACCGTCTAACGAGGCTCGCTGTCAAACAAGAAAAGAAATTTCCGCGGGAAACTTTCATTCTGCGACAGAAGCAAACGATTTTTATTTACCACGAACAGCCTGTTAATAATCGCCGTAGCTGAAAGGGTTCGACATCATCTCCGTGCAACTTTTCCCGGAAGAAAAGCGCAGAGTAAACGAAGAAGAAGAAGAAGAAGCAAAAAAAAAAGAACGAAAGGTTGCACGAACGTTAACAGTTCCATTCGGGTGTTTTCGGTGGCGAAACAGAGGGTAGAAAAACGCGCGGCGAAAGAAATAGGGTGTAGATTCGGGGGCGAAGCGGGGAGGGAAAAAAGGAACGACGACGACGACGAAGAAGAAGAAGAAGAAGAAGCGTCCGCAGGATGCGGCCGCGTGTTCCAATATGGCGGTGGGATCGCGGTGGGCGGAGGGAGGAGAGCGTGGTCTGAATTCCGCTGGCCAGAAATGGTCGATGATGGTGAAAAGAGCGCTTCTTTGGCGAACTGCCCTCGGAAAACTTGCGCATTCCATTAGGCGGCCGCCGGGAGAAGGATTACGGGTAAGAGGAACAAGAACCGTGACAGAATAGGAGACAATGGGAGGGAGGGAGAGGGGGAGGCTCGCCGGGCTCTCTTTCTCTCTGCGCGCGGAGACAGAGGTCTCGGAGAATAATAAAGGCACGACAACGATGCGGGATAGTAGCTACTTCGCGTGATTTATCTAATGTTTCCTTATCGGGCTCCAACTCCGCCGCGGAACACCTGGGAACTCCTTCTCTCTGCCCGGCGTCGCTTTTTTCTTCCTCCTCCTCCTCTTATTTTCTTGTCTCTGTGTTTGCGCGAGAGAGACCCCCGTGCTCATGGGAAAAACTGCCGCGACGATGATGCGACACCGCGGATGGAAACGATCTTCGACCTCGTTGACACCTTCTCGTCTGGAACCTTTGGACTCCGATCTAAGAAGTTCGTTTTCTCGGGACTCTTGAGATCTCTTGCCGCGACAAGCGGAGATCGGTTTCTATTTTTCGGGAGACCTTTGTTTACCCCTTAACTTGTAACGCGAAAGTTAATTTTCGAGCGCGTTGAACAGGCCAAACTGTGCACACTCGAGATAACTCGAGAGGCGTTGTATTTTATGCTGCTATAGTTTTTCACACTCGAATATAATCGAGAAGTGAAAATAACAATGTGAAAACGAAGAAAAAATATCGTTTTATTGATATTTTTCATTTATATGAGATTGTAAGCTATAACGCTTATTTATTCAAGAATAAAATATAGCCTTTTCCCATGGAACAAAAGCGCAGTATATTTTTTTGGCCGGTTTTTAAAAAAAAAAACTGCGTTAAGGGGTTAATTCCCTTCTTCGCGCGAGTTTCTAGAATTTTTATTTCTATCGGATCTGTCTGTTAACCCTTTGCACTCAAGTGGTGACCCTGTGAAGCACCGGAGAAATTGTTGCATCGCGTTCCAAGATCATTTTTATATTGTCAAAGTATGGATTTAAAAAATTGCTAAAAGTGTAACTGTTGTTTGAGTCACAAGACTCAATTTCGTATGCATAAATTAAGTATGCACTATGAGGAACGAAAATACTTCGAAAATACTTTAACATAACTGGTAGAGCATTTTTTAGCTTCCAGAAGCTTTCAGACATCTCTGACAACTTTTTACTCCCCTAAGATTTATTCTATTCAGACCAATTAAGGTGTTCGACTGTGCAGATCGATAAAACTGCTTCTACGCAACATTTTTGTTGCGGATAAATTCAGATAAATTCAGATAAATTCAGATAAAATTTGCTAGCACATCGAGCATCGTTTATGCTGGCACAACGAAGCGATCTCGATGCATCCATCGATTCATTCAGCCTCGGTTTCGGCGATCGTTGGTTCGATCGTTTCGCAGCGGCCGGTTGTTCGCCTCTATTCCACGGACGACGCGTCATGTTTTTCAGTGTATACGGCGTACGATGTTTAACAGCCGTATTATTAATGAACAGAATACGTCTCTTTAGAAAAGAGAAAGGACCCACCGGACAGCAGCGGCGGCGAGACGAAACCATCGAGCAGCGAGCTGACGGCGGCGGGTGTGATCGGCGCGGCCACGGTCAACTCGACGTCCCAGGGAAAGGGGACGAAGAGATCGCGCAGATAGTAAGTATATCCTGGATGTATCCTTCTATCTCTGAGATCGGGGCGCGTCATTAACGACCCTGAAGTGACAGTAGTGAAACCGAGTGCAAGCGAAAAATATACCGACCGTTCGGTTTCTGTTCGTTCCTTTGTCTCGATCCGGATAAACGACCACTCGTGCCGCCTCGAATCTTCAGTGAGACATGTCCAGCGCACGTCGGAATCTTCGAGATACCGATACGCTATTTTATTTATTAGTTGCGAACACCTGCCACCGAACCGTTGGATTTTTTTTTATAGAACTTCGGGACACGCGGAGATCGGTGCCTCAGAAATACAGTAATTTCTCCCTGATTCGCGCTCAAATTGTGCGCGAAAGTGGACAATTTTGGGGGAGGAGATACGATTATTCGAGGTATATACGATCATTCGATTATTTGCGACTCGTTTTCATAGTTAGAAATTGTCAAGAATTATAAAAATGAGACGCAAGGCTCGAATAATCGAAGCTCCTCTTCCCAAATTGTCCATTTTCGCGCGCAATCTGAGCGCGAATTGGGGAGAAATTACTGTACCGGTACCTTATTTCGCTTGCAGTTGCATATCTGCAAAGTTAAATATCGGATATTTGTTGCTGGGAAGTTTGTTTCCTCCGGAACATTGCTTTTTATTGGATCTCGAATTTGATCCTCGAATCGTTTAGAAACACAGTCGCTAATTTACACAGTTTTTTATTCCGAGGTTCCCTTGATCTAAACCTTTCATCATCTTCAAGCTCGAATTTGTTCAGTTTATTAACAAACTATAGTCCGTCCGAAGCACATTCTACGATTCCAGCGATCTTCACTGTGTTTCGAAGGAAGTGATAAGGGTACGTTCATCGTCAAACTGCATTCTCTGACTGCTGTCGACGCGGTTCACAGCTGTGAACGTGTCACTGTCGAGAAGCGAGCTAAACGTTATTTAACGTAGCTGGTCCATCGTAGAACGAACAATCTGATTGGAAAGCAACAATGTACGAAGGGTGCGCGAAGCAACGATAAAATAAAATTCTGCTGGCTTTATTTGTACTGCAAAAACAGAGAAATCGAATTGGAAGCGCTCGCTTGAAGCTCTCGAGGCGGTATCAACGGGGTGGTTTTCACCCCCCACCCCCCAACCCCGTCCCCGTCGCGGCCGGAAATCTCGTTTTTTCCGACCGGAACGGTTCGCACAGAATTCAACTAATTGATTGCATTTAAACAACCGTTGTTCGAGCGCCGACGAAGACTGCGACGATCCCAGCACCAAAGCGGTGCGCGAGAAGGAACGTCGCCAGGCCAACAACGTGCGTGAAAGGTTAGTGAACACACGCAGTAAGCACTCCCGTTGTACTCTTCAAGTCCATCGAGATGTCCCTGCGGGACGTCGCCGTCTCCAGAGATCCTTTTATTTTTTTTTCTCTCCGTATGCATGTCCGATACGAAACAACGACAAAAGAGAATCCTCGGAACGCAATCGATCGATAGCTCTGTTTCTCGTTGCCGGGAGAAAAAGGAAACGACTACTAATTAATATTTGGCATGCTTACCCACCACCACCACCACCATCACCGTCAACAACCCCCGCTGACCACGCGGCCCGTATTCTAACGTGGCAATTAAAATGCGCCTGGTTAAGGACAGAGATAACGATACCGTTCGATCGACAGTTCATCAATCAGTCTCATTTTAATCCGGCTGTGTATCGGCCACAACCCCATCATCGAAGGCATGCCACACCAAATGATTCTTTCTTCGTCTCTTTTACACCGAGCACCATGCACCAGAGTTGCGCAACTCCGCGGATAAAATCTTATTCGGGATGTGTTTCTCCTGAGTAAGAATTTTTTTCTCGAAATATATTCGCTCGAATCGAATTGCATTCGTTGAATTTATTCGAAATGTTTAGTCGAATGAAATTGCATTCGTTGAATTTATTCGAAATATTTAGTCGAATGAAATTTTATTCGTTGAATTTATTCGAAATATTTAGTCGAATAAAATTGTATTCGTTGAATTTATTCGAGGAATTAGTTCGAGTAAATATTTCTCGAATAAAATTTTATTCGTCGAATTTATTCGAAATATTACTCCAATAATATTCTATTCGAAATGTTATTCGAATAATATTATATTCGAAATGTTATTCGAATAATATTCTATTCGAAATGTTATTCGAATAATATTCTATTCGAAATTTTATTCGAATAATATTATATTCCAAATGCTATTCGAATAATATTATATTCCAAATGTTATTCGAATAATATTATATTCGAATGATATTATATTCCAAATGTTATTCGAATAATGTTATATTCGAAATGCTATTCGAATAATATTTTATTCGAATAACATTCGAATAAAACCCAACTCTGCCACACACATACGCACATACATATACTTGTCTCTCTCACTCTCTTTAATCCTGTGCATCACTCCGACCGTGTTGTTGCTGAACATTTTCTTCTTTCCTTAGAGAACCATCTGACATTTGGAAGAACCCTCTCGCAAGCACCCCCTGTTACCCCATTACAGTTTGCTCCCATGTGTAATGAAGATTTCTTTCAGACTACAGCTCGAAGACGTCCTCTCCACTGTCCCCGAATCCTCGAACGACACCATCACCACCACCCACCCCCCGTTCCTCACCTCCAAGTATCTGAGTTTTCTAGGTAACAGCACGAAAAGACAGCTACGAACGATATCACGATAGATCTCTTTTCTTGATCACTCTCTTGGCCACTGGTTTGTTCTCTGTGCAAAAAGAATACGGGTCCAAAGAGTACGGAAACCTCTGACTTTCTGTCCATAACCACAGCTCTGCGTGTGTTCAAACGACAACGCCGATAAACGATCACGATCACGATCACGATCCCCGAAAAAGGGATATTCGAGAGTATATTTTTCTCGTCGATCCTCGATCCTCGCGAATTAAGAGAAAATAGAAAGAGAGATAGAGAATCGTCGGTTTTCACTGCTGTCGCGGAAAAAGCTCGCTCGCTCGATCTAGGACGATCGAGCGGCAAAGAACGGCCGCCTACGTCAGGTGATTAATCGAGTATTGTTATTGCGCAACTGTTGTTCGAGCGCCGAGGACGAGGATGACGATCCCGACGTGAAGGCGCAAAGGGAGAAAGAGAGGCGGCAGGCGAACAATGCTAGGGAAAGGTAAGGAAATCGACGGAAGTCTGCAGTGAATCGCGAATCTCTTCATCGGTTACCGATTTCGAGACTCTGCCACGGCCCGTATTCTACGTGTACATGTGAGAGAGAGAGCGAGCGAGAGAGCGAGAGAGAGGGAGAGAGAGCTGACTGGGGGCTACGGGATCGATCATGAGAACGATCGATCCGCCGCTCGTGCTATTACGTGGACGAATCCTGAGGTGCTTGGGGGATCCTTGCCTCGATCGATGAAATTCGTGCTTCGAGCCTGGCTAGATTGCGAATTTTCTGATTGGTCTCTTGGGAAATGCGTTTCGCCGATTGTCTGTCGTTTCTGGGAAGGAATTTTGGTAGAACGGGTTGCTTAACGCTCGCAGGTTCCTCAGATATAGCCGAAGAAATGGTCCTCGAACGACGCCTTCGGCCGGCTCTTTGGTCCGCAGTTTAATCAATAAGTGCACTGATCGGAACCGTTGCTTTTAATGGCCATTGTTCCCGCAGGAGTATACAATTTAACTATCGCACGCTGTCGCCGTTTAATTCGCGAATCGGAAATATATCAATTTCCCCGGACGGTGCACGATTTACAGGCTACAGTTCGGTGATCTTGTCGCGTTTGGTAATGGACGAGAAACTCACCCCGAGGAACGTGCGAGAGTTTAATATTCGTAGCCGAATTCCCTCAATTGGGGGACTCTGGAAATTTGTTTGGTACCAGCGAATCGAAGATTTGTAAACGGAAAAAAATAATATCGATCATTTTGCAACGTCTAGATCAGGGGTGGTCAAACATTTTTGATCGCCACGGGCGACCTGTTTCTTTTAAATTATAGGCGACGGTCTGCGAACATCGTAAGAAAAGTAGCAATTTCAAGGCGAGAATAATAAATAAAATAATTTAAATAATAAAGTCGACCGCGGTCGTCATCTTTGGCCACCCCAGATAATCCTTTTCGTTTGCATTATGGCAGGAACAGTGTTCGAACGTCCGCTGCCAAACAGATTTTCGTTTAAGAATTACCTGGCGATCGTAAATTCGTTAACTAATAGTTACTTGTCCACTTAGGATACGTATCAGGGACATCAACGAGGCCCTGAAGGAACTCGGCAGAATGTGCATGACACATTTGAAGACGGACAAACCTCAAACGAAGCTAGGCATTCTCAACATGGCTGTCGAAGTGATCATGACGCTGGAACAGCAAGTTAGAGGTGTCTATCGTTAATGAAGCAATTCGATCCGGTGTTTGTCGAACGTTGCCTAAAATTTCGCCTGTGTTTGCTCCGTAGAACGAAATCTTAATCCAAAAGCAGCGTGCTTGAAGAGGAGAGAGGAGGAGAAAGCGGAAGATGGACCCAAATTACCCGGCCATCTTACGGCGCACATAGCTCACCCGCACCCTCACCCTCATCCGCATTCTCAGCCACCCTTTTCCGCGATGCCAGTAAGTATACTCCCCTAACAAAATACACGTACAATCCGGAGATTCATTATCTGGCTCTTTACGCTCTTTTCCAATCTTCTAGCATCTTTAATACACCCCTGGATTCAGTTGCAACTTACTGCACATTTTTTCTAGATCGTGCAACTTTGTTCCAACATCGTACACTCTCTCTCTTGAATCTCCGAGTAAACATTTGCACTCTGGTGGGTCGCAAAATGAATGCATAATAACAAATTTATGCAACATTGTTTGCAAATAACGATAGAAAATATGGTTCACAGAATATTGATAGAAACTTGGTCGTTCAGATCTGTTTTTAGTCATTAATGTCTAACCTGAGTCTAATCGGGTTAGCCTGATTTTATTATTTTTAAATTAAACCATATCGAACCAATAACATTGAAAAATAACCAAATAACCATAACATAGAATCTCAGAGTATTTTTAAATCAGAGAATTTGCGTTCTGATGCCTCACAAAATGAATGCACAATACCAAATTTATGCAACATGGTTTGCAAATAACGGTAGCAAAAATGGTTCACAGAACATTGATAAAAACTTAGTCGTTCAGATCTGTTTAGACATTAATGTCCTTTCTCCGTAATGATCTGTTCATTGACACTAGATTTACGGATCACAAAAAGACAGCTGCTTTATATTATTTCATAAAAGTAACAATCAGACATTTAGTCTGATTTTGTACAAGTGTTATATAAATTGAACAAACATATAAATTGAATAAATAACTCGTTTTAAATCTAGTGTTAACAACCTGATTCTAATCTAACCCGAGTCTATTCAGGTAAACCTAGTTTCATTATTTTTAAATTGAACCGTATTAAACCAATTGAACCATTAAAAAGATAACCAAATAACCACAACATTGAGGCTCAAAGTAAACGTTCGCAATTCTGATGATACCAGATAAACGTGCAAAGGTTGCTTGTGTCGTTGATCGAAGCTAGAAATTGAGATTATGCCGAAGAAACGACCCTCTCGGAGGGGGATGCTAGGGGTGCATGAACAAGCTTGTGCAGCCAGATAATCTGACTCCTGACGAAGTTTCCGCGACAGTGTGTTCCACGGATTTAGGCGAGCAAACAAAGTAAAATGTGAAACGTTACTTTGCAGGGTCCGCCCCCGTCCCTTCAGCACAATCCATCGCAGCCCCAGTAGCAGCGGCTCAGCGGCGGTGTGATCCTGTGTCAAAGGGGTAGATACAGCTTAAAGTTATCGTGGTATCGGGACGTTGCGTACAGAGAGGACGTTTTCCCCGGCCCCGCGGAGTGCCCGTTCTACGAGCCGAGCAAAATTAAGGGTATTACGCGGCGGGCCAATGAATGGTGCACACTCTTCGAACGTATCCGATTACGTTCCATCGAAGACGCGAATAACGAACGGCGGGAGAAGACGCTTCGCGGCCGCTCGAACGATCGCGCGGAGCTGAATAATTGCGCTAGGTATATACAGATAATACTAGATAATAATAATAACAATAATGAAACCGTGACCGGGACAATAATAATCGTAACCGTCGTAACGGTGATGATAATATAATAATAATAGTAATGACAATAATAATCGTGATAAGGCGATCGGATCAGGCGTGCGAGACGACACGTCCCTTTGTACATAGTCGGATATATCGTACATGCGAGGCGGTATGCATGAAGTTTTTGCGGCACGCGCGCGACGGGCTTAGGCGATCTACATATCATACTTCGTCCCCTAATTACTCGTCGTTCGCGCGCGGCCAATTTGTAACGTTTCACGTGCTTCCCACACACACACTCACACATACACACACACTCACACACACACACACACACACACACACACACAGACACGCACGCACCCTCTTCTATACCGAGTTCCAAAATCGAATCCTTGCTTCGTAAAGAGAAGAAGAGAAAAATCGTTGGAACGCGAACGGGGGGAGGGGGATATGGTAGAAGCGATTTTTGGTGCCTTGGAGCAACCATGGACTCTCCACGAGACCGTTAGTAATTTATTTAGCGGGGTAAGAGCTATTTAGTTGTATATCGTAAGCGAATTTCCGAACACTCTACATATCAGCACAAAAATTATTTTTTAATGTTATATAAAAGAAGAAAAAAGAAAAGAAAACGCCGATGTGTTGATACCTGTTCAGAGTCGTTTAGTGGCGTTGAACGGCGCCGGGGTGGTAGCGTCGCGGAGATCGACGGATCAATTATCGATCTCTCGATGCCCGTATGAATTTTCAAAGAAATATTTATTTTTCGTTTTACTATATTTATACGAACAATGTCGTCCCACCACCACCCTGCGCGAGGGGCGGAGATAGTAGCGATCCTATAAGAAAAGCTTACCCCCTCTTGCTCCGGCAAAACGAGTTCCTCGATCAAGCTCTCGGATCAATTATTATTATACGAATCAGAATTTCCCCCTGATTTACGATGACGCGGGTTGTCGTTGCTAAAAAAAGAAAAAAAGAGAACAATTCCGGAGATCGTAACGAAAAGATCTCCGCGCGTTCTCGTTTCCCCGCACCCCTAACCCGGTCACCTCATCACGATTGTTATTATTATTGCCATTATTATTATATTATCGTCGCCATTACGACGGTCACGATTATTATTGTCACGGTCACGATTTGATTGTTCTTATTACTACCGATTAATAAACGATCGCCGGGGAGATCCTTCGTGAGAAAGAAAAAGGGAACGATTTTTGTTTTTGAACAAAAATATAGCTCAAAACTCGATGTGTACCCAGTTGCCATGTATTTTAATTTATTTAGATTCGTAAATAAATTTTATTAAATAAACGATATCGAGAGACGAGAGAAAAAATACGTGCACGAATACACACAGATATAACACACGAGGGACGTGGAGGGAAAAAGCGTGTCCTCCGTTAGGACGAGAAACGGGGAACAGTGTGTTCTCCTCGCCTCGATTCCCTTGTTTCAATTAGCAGAATTTTTCGAATTTTTCCGTTCTCCGTAACCCGTTCACACTCGATCTCCATCTCCCGAGCGACATCACCGTCACCGTGATGATCCTCTTCTCGCATATCACAAGATAAACACAGACACACACAGACAGACAGACAGACATAGATAGATAGACAGACACATACATGCGTAAACACACAGCTATATTTTTCTTCAAAAGCGCACGCATATCGAACGGTCCTGGAAAACGTATATAGAAAAGAAAACCACAAAAAAAAGAAAGGGAGAGACAAAGAGGAAGAAGAAGAAGAAGCGGAAGGAAAGAAAAGGAAACACAAGAAATGAAAGTCTCGCTCTCTGTACCTTCGTGTTCCTCTCTCGCTGCTGTCTTAGAGAATCCACGACCGAACGAGCAAAAACCGATCGTCGCTCGATCCCAGTCACTCCTCATAATTAAAACACACCGTGTTTCGCGATCGGAGATCACAAAAATCGTGCCGCGAGATTCGGCGGACCTGTGAGACCGAGTGAAAAAAAAAAGAAACGAACACCGGATCCAGGAGGATCGCGACGCGCCACGGCCTCGATCGGAGCTCGATCGTGAGAGAGACAAACTCGCACAACCTCGCTTTACTTTTTAATCGAAACGTCGAACACCTCCGGTTTAATGGGGGATTACGATGTTACGACGACGAATGAGGGAAAGAGAAATCTGTGAAAATGTCAGGGCGGCCAAGGAGAGAACGATAGTGTGGGAGATAGATAGATAGATAGATAGATCTATCGATCGTGTGCGCAGGGGAGGTCGGCTGCGATCCGTGGGAGAGATAGATCACATGTACACAGGCACGGCCAGGCACACAAAGCGATAAGCGCGCGGGAAAGATGACACGGATTCTACATACACACGCACCTATATTCGCGATGGTAATCATGTAAAATAATAACGACAATAAATAGCTCGTAAGCCCGTCTAAGCTAGGCACACCTGTCGATAGTCTTAGATAGTCAAAGTGGAAAGGTGAACAGAGTGCTCATTACGAGTCAAGAAAGAGAGAGTGAGAGAGAGAGAAAGAGAGAGTGGAAAGTGAGAGAGAGAGAGAGAGAGAGAAAGAGTGAGAGAGAGAATGGGAGAGAGAGAGAAAGAGAGCGACGATCGTAGAAGGTCTCGTGGCGCAGATTTTCCCGCGGTAATCGATTACCGTTTTATTGCGAGTCGATCGTTCTTTCTTTCCTTTCGTTTCTTTTTCTTTGGCTTGTTTCGTTCGTACTGCGACCGTTCCTTAAATGGAAGCGGAAGTTTGGCGTGTGCATAGACTTCGGAACCCCGATGGTTCTGTGAAAGATTATCACATCATTCGGGGCTTGGAAATTGTTAGATTCTCATTCTTTCGAATAGCTGCGAGGAACATTTATAATCTGGATGATTGATACGAAGCATCCGAATTTCTAACTGTCCGCTTTTTCGGTATATATATATATATATATATATATATTGTTATATATAGATATATATATTTATATATTATATATATATATATTATTTATATATTATATATATTTTATTTATATATATATATATATATATATATATATATATATATATATATATATATATATATTGTGATTCTATATTTATTACGAGAATTGAGAAGACAATTTCTACACGCGTATTTCCAACTTATCGACACAATTGACGAAAAAATACATTTGGATTTAACTTCTCTCGTCGAAAAGAACCTAAGTACTTATTGTTTTTTAGTTTGACTAATATTGTAACTATCAATATAATTGACTGAAAAATAAATTTGTATTTAGCATCTCTTATCGAAAAAAGCCTAGGTACACGTTGTTTTTTAATATGACTCATATTGTAACTATCAATTTAATTGACAAAAAAATACATTTGTATTTAGCTTCTCTTATCGAAAAAAGCCTAGGTACTCGTTGTTTTTTAATATGACTCTCTAGCTATCAATATAATTAATTGACAAAAAAATACATTTGTATTTAGCATCTCTTATCGAAAAAAGCCTAGGTACACGTTGTTTTTTAATATGACTCATATTGTAACTATCAATTTAATTGACAAAAAAATACATTTGTATTTAGCTTCTCTTATCGAAAAAAGCCTAGGTACTTGTCGTTTTTTAAGTCTGACTTCTAGCTATCAATATAATTGACAGAAAAATACATTTGTATTTAGCTTCTCTTATCGAAAGAAGCCTAGGTACTTGTCGTTTTTTAAGTCTGACTTCTAGCTATCAATGTAATTGACAGAAAAATACACTTGTATTTAGCTTCTCTTATCGAAAAAAGCCTAGGTACTTGTCGTTTTTTAAGTCTGACTTCTAGCTATCAATATAATTGATAAAAAAATATTTAGCTTCTCTTGTCGAACATAATTTCGGTACATATTTGCTCATTTATAATCTGCTTTCATTTTGTATTATAGTTATTCTACAAATTAACGACCCGTTGCGATAAACTGGAATTCATGAAGCATTTCCTCGCACTTTTTCAATATAACAGACAGTCGGAAATTTCTGTTTTCTTCTAACAAACATTCAGAACGCGATTAGCCCGCAACCGATTTAGAGAACCTAATAGGCGATAACGGTTTCGTAATTGTCAAGCCCCGGACAATGGTAACAATGAGGAATATATCGTTGCCGCTCGGAGAAAATGCTTGATCGATGGATCGATCGGTCTCACCCTTTCGCTCCCGTGTTCTGTTCTACGGTCTCTGTTACGGTAATTAGAATTATTTTTAAAAAAAAGGATAACGTAATTTATTTTAATATGTTCTTAGAAAATATTGTATTTTTAACGCACGAGGCGAGAACAAAAGTGTAATATAGTATACATAGTACGCGGGCGTTTCGCGCTCCCCGGAGCGAGAGGGTCGACGATTTTCCCGGCACAGGAGAATGATCTCTCGAGCGGCGTATTGTACATAGGAGAGAGAGAGAGAGAGAGAGAGAGAGAAACGAGGAGAGAAGCTAATCACATCGATATATTACTTCCTAGTGGTAACCGCTTTATTATACTTCACCGATTTTCCGTGAAACCGCCACCGCGAGACCTCGACCCTCGGGGTGGCGATCACACAAGTATGGCCGATTATGTTGCCGACGACGCGCCGATGATTAATTAAGGATCGACGAGAGACGATCGACGTTAACCACGCCACGGAATCGCCGCGGATCGTCGTCACCGATTTCGTGAAATCATTGTACGATTATTTTGTAATTAATCTTGTGAAGCTTCTCCACTTCAGATCTATATTTTGTTGTTTCCTTTTGTTTTCTATCTATTCTTTTTTGTTTTCTTTTTTTTTTTATCAACTCGGCTCAGGAGAAGCCCAAAGTAGACTCCCGATTAACCGATCACGGGACTCAAAAAGAGTTCGTCGCGGGGATACTTCGATCGGACAGCAGCAGAGCCTGTTGTACATTGCGAGTTCGAGGTCCGCTCGAAGAGGACAGCGTCGAAACGTTGCTCCGCGAGTCCCAGGGTCCTCCGTCCCACGGACCCCGGGTGTCCCGGACCACCCCCCAAATCGACGCGATCCTCCTTCGAGCCGGCATCTTCGTGACCGTTCTTTCGTTGAATGATCTCTGTTCGATCACGGAACATCATCCCCCCCCCCCCCCCGGTCGGTCGCCCCCGGGACACGATATTGTCGAGCGACACCAACCGTACCACACACACGGAGACCTACATCTACACGCACACGGGAAAACCTAAACGCGAGAAACACACCTGTAAATTAGATCTAACGACATTATTGTATAATATGTAATTANCCCCCCCCCCCCCCCTCGGTCGGTCGCCCCCGGGACACGATATTGTCGAGCGACACCAACCGTACCACACACACGGAGACCTACATCTACACGCACACGGGAAAACCTAAACGCGAGAAACACACCTGTAAATTAGATCTAACGACATTATTGTATAATATGTAATTAAAGAAAACAAGGAGGAGAGAGAGCCGGCGCGGCGAGTTCGCGTGACCGTCGTCGCAACCCCCTACGACGGCCCGGGATATATATGATTTTCGACATGTAACACGCGACTGTTAAAACGAGAAGAATAGCTGCGATTCTATTAACATCGATGAAGCACACGGGGCTGAATTATTATGCATATATTGAACGCGCGAGTGAGACGGAATGCTTCTTTTGTGCGTGACTGATCGACGATTAGGAGAGAACAGTGAGAGAAAGGGGAGATGCGCTGAGGACGAGAGGAATGTGTGGACAGCGTGCGCGCGCGCGAGAGAGAGAGAGAGTGAGAGTCTTTTCGTTTGAGAAAGAAAAAAAAAATGTATAATTATCGGTAGTAATATTATTATCACTAATAATATAATAAATGTGCCATTTTTTCCATAATCACGGTGCCTACGGCCTCTACTTTCTCACGGTTGCGTCTTCGGATATTATTAATTAATGATCAGTGTTCATTTTTTTCGTTCGCCCTTTTTTTCTTTCTCACTCGAGCTTCCCCCCAGATGTTTTTTTATTTTTTTTTTTTATTTTTTTGTTCTCTGTTCTTTTTTTTTATTTTTTGTTTCTCTCTTCTCTTCTTCTTTTTGTTTTTGTGTACATTGTACGATCTCCCCGAGAACTAATTGTAGCTGCTACCCAACACCACAGTATTAGGTCGTATAAGCAGCCGTTTTTGTTTTACGATTTTCTCGTTTAAGTCTCTCCACTTCTTTTCTCGATGTATGTTTCTCACCTCGAAACCCTCCCCGTTCCTCTTTCAATCCTGTTCTCGCTTAGCCGAGTCTCCCCTACTACTGCTACCACCACCACCCACCCACCCTCCCGGTTCCCACCCTCCCCCTGTCCACCTCGTTACGTTT